TGGCAGGGAGGGCTGGGACTCCCTGCAAGTGGTGGGAAGTGATGGATTATGACTGCTGGGTGTAATATTGGTTCAGTTTTCCAAACTACTGCCCTAACAACCTTCTCTCTCAATCAGATTTTGGTTGATTCCTTTTAGAAGCAAACAAACTCTGCATGAGGAACTTGGAAGCTATGGAGCAATTTCACCTGAAACAACCTGAGGTGTTCTGCAAAAGGACAACTTGGTCATGTCCAAACTGAGCTGTAAATCCATGTCCTTCTTTCCCTTGCTCCCTTCTGGAGCTAATGAGAATGACATCAAATAATTGCAGTTTCCTTTAAGGATAATTACAAAGCTCAGCACCTGAGGTGTGAATGCCCAGCCTGGGTGTTTGGAATTGCTGCTGTCACACACTTCTCCCACTGACTGCACCATGTCCTTAAATGAGCCATTCCAAAGTGCCCAGCACAAGGGATGTCAGCTGCCATGAAAGCCTGGGGTGCCAGTTCAGAAAATAAAGTCACAATAACAACAAAACTAATGTGTAATAAGAGTGCCAATATTTGCATGTGTTATTAAAGAGTTGCTGGTGTTTGTGTCCCATTGTCACCCTCCTTTTCCCAGAAGGATGACACTTCATGTTATGGAGCTATGGAATTCAGGGATGTAAAGAACAGAGTCCTCCTGAGATATAAATATATGTATATTTATTTATATATATAAAATTCCAGTGTAATCCACACATGAAAGAATTGTGGTCTATTTCAAGGCTTTTCCTTTCATCTTTTCTGTAGTTTTCTGCCAATTCTCAAAGTGCTCCCAGACCACAGACTGAACGAAATTATCTGAACAGGGCTGACCTGCAGCTCCTGATGTCCCTGTGCCATTCCCCAGGGCCAACCCTGTCCCCTGACCCCACAGTGCTCCCTGTGCCATCCCCAGGGCCACCCCTGTCCCCACAGTGCTCCCTGTGCCAGTCCCCAGGGCCACCCCTGTCCCCTGACCCCACAGTCTCCCTGCCACCTTCCCTGTGGCTGCTGAGCCTTTGCTTTCCTCTCACAGCAAAGGAAAAATCCCACCTGAGGAGATGGAGCTGTTGCAAAGACTGGCACAAATGCACTCCCCTCCTCCTGCTGCCTTCAGGACAGAACAGAATATAATAGAAAAAGATAAAATAAAATAGAATAAATAGAAAACTGTTTATTCTCACATCTCCCATCCCTTTTAAGGAAACACATTATTTATGCTGTACTTGCTCCTGAAACTCCACTGGAAAATAAATCTGGCAAGTGGACAATGATTTCACCTGAGTTAGAATTCTTTCCCTAAAGAACTCAGTGTAAGTTATGTCTAAATCTTGTACCTTTAAACACACAAGAAACTGGTTTTTTCCACCTTATAATTGAAAAATCCATGATGAAATCAGATTTACACTGGCTCTTTCCATGGATGCACAGATTCTGGGAACCCAGGGAAGTTCTGCCCTCACTTCCAGCTTCCACTCTGGAAGCCTGAACACACTGGTGTAATTCCAGTTGAATTTCAAGGGGAAAAGGATGATTGATATGGCCTCAAATGGTGGAATCAAAAAATCTGGTATAGATTAATAGGAATATTAGTGAAAGCTGGAAAGGAAAACAAGGATTCTTTTCTAATGTGACATGATACTTAAGAACACACATTGTCAGTAACTACAAATGTGTAATGTTTCTCTTTTCTTTTGCTGTACTTCTGACACGATTCTCTTACAATGCTTTGCTTATCATCCTCTTGTGAGGTTTATTGTACTTACAAATCATTCCCAGACAGCTTCTTTGCTATCTTTTCATTAAAAAAAAGAAAAAAAAGAAGAAGAATAAGAAAGTTTTGTGGATAATACATTTTCCCTGCGGGAACTAATTCCACAAAGATATTGACTACAAGCCTGTCGTTGTTTTAAAATATGTGGCCATGTATCAAATGGTTGATTCTTCTCCCCAGAGTCACCTTCTGAAGCTTTATGTGTGCACTTCATCACCCAAGCATCCTGAGACCATGAGGAGAAACTCCAATTTGTCCTCCCAAGCCAGTGCTCACCCCTACCTGGAATTCTTTTTGCCACCAGATCACTGTGGACACTCCCTGCTATCCATTCTGGGGTCTTTAGGGCTGTGTCCACTCCAGTCCCTTTGTCTCATATATTTTTAGCCCTTGCACTGTGGGATGACAGACTGCAGCATGTTAAAGCAGGGAGAATATTTGTATTGATTTCCAAATGCTGCAGATTGAGAGCAGATGTACCACGTATTCCCCAAACGTATGTTTTAACTTTCATTTATGTGCTGTGCTGAGCAGCCTGCGAGCCAGGAAATGATTTATATCTGCTAATTGCATGCACTTTGGTAGATTTGCAGCTAAAAATAAGTGGTTTGTTTTTTAATTATAAATGATTTATCCTCTCACGCTGCATGGAGCTGAAAGAGACCTTGGAGAATCTGCATTTAGTTTCTGCATCTGCCATGGACTTTTTTTGTGTCTTTAGTGGGTTATCCATGTGCCCAGCTCAGAGGAATCTGGATCTCATGGACATCTTACTTCAGAGAGATGAAGGAAACACTCCTGTCTCGCAGCTGAAGAGGTGGAGCAGCAGTTGCTGCCAAGAGCAGCGGCTCAGTGGAGACCCTGCAGAAGGGTCCCCCTCACCTTTGCTGGATCCAACACTCCTGCAGCTGTGGGGAATCAGACCCAGCTGCTGATCCAGGGGAACACAGCTCCCATTCCCTCCCACCAGAGGCTTCATGGAATGGACTGGCCTGGGGGAGCACAAGGAAACACACGAGGGGTTTTCTTGCTGTTAGATCAGTCAGAAGTAACCTGAAATGTCACCTCAGGGGGTCAGGGCAGGCAGGCCTGGGCTGGTGGGCAGCACTGCAATCCCAGCTGCATGGCCTGACCTTCCTGCTGGCACAGCTCTGCTATTCCTGCTATTCCCTGTCTCCAGGACAAGTGGCAGGCCCCTGAGGACACTCAGAGCTCTTAATGAGTCCCACCCCGCCTTGCTGGGGCTCTCTTTAAGCTCAGCCCTGGTCCCCTCAGAGTCTGTCCCTGCAGCATCCCTGTGCTGGGCTATGGATCCTCCTGATGCACGGACTGACCTCAGACCTGGCTCACTCCCTGTTCCACCTCAGACCTGTCTCATTCTGAGCTTCACCTCAGACCTGTCACATTCCCTGCTCCATTTCAGACCAGTCTCATTCCCCGCTCCTCCTCAGATCTGTCTCATTCCCTGTTCCCCCTCAGACCCTTCTCATTCCCTCCTTCACCTCAGACCTGTCTCATCCCTACGGACCTGTCAGCAGCCCCAGTGTCTAGAATGTCCCATGTTGCTGGAATGGTCCCTGAGGAATGGCCCTGGAGCTGCTGTTGGTTCTCAGCTTGATCTCAGACCTGCCACCATGAACCAGCCTGATGGTCTTGGCTGGAGCTGGGCCTGCTTTGTTCACCTGGACTGGGGGTGGTTCTTCAAGGAACTGCACTCAGGTGCCAGCAGCTGACAGTCCCTTCCATGTGTCACACCAGATCCTAAAACACACCAACCTTAGCTCACCTCGTCCATTTCATCCCTGTTTGTTTATTGGCCAGTTTTCCTGAGAAATTGGATAACCTCTTGTCCTTTTCCTAGCTGGTGAGAGGAGGTACATGGGCATGTTAGTATCAGTGAGGAGAAGGAGGTTCCAGACCTCAATTCCTTCCCTAACACGCTGCCAGATGTTTATCTGGGTTTCTTCCTCCTCTTGAAACTCTGTTAGTGTCTGACAAGAAATACAAGATTCATATGGCAGAAGAAAAGCCTAAGGGATCTGATCTAGCAGGAAGTGAGGAGGAAATTCCTTTAATCTTATCCTTGTTTCCACTCTGCTTATGAGCTTTTTATTAAACAGTTGTTGACTTTTGAAACCCTAAACCTAATCTAAGCATCCCAGAAATGTGATCATTCTCCTGGATGGAAAGTAGTTATCACTGCTAGGAGCTTCAACCAGCTTTGGCAATGTCCTCCAACTCCACCAAAAATGTTAACCACTGTTGGCAGGAGGGAACTCCAACCCTCCTGCCTAAAATCTTGGTTTCCAGTTACCAGAGAGAGGAAAAAGTGTATTTGGGATCTGGGCTGGTTGACAAGGTGGGGATGGATCACAGGTTGGACTTGATGGTCTTGGAAGTCTTTTCCAACCTCCACATTTGTGTGATTCTGTGAAAGTGTGCCCCTCAGATGCAGTAATCCCACACACTGCAGTTAGAGGATGCAGGGCAGACCCTGGGGAAGGGGAAGGGATGGAAACCATTCCAGTGTGGATGACCACACACTGGAACGGATTGTCCGGAGAAGAGCGTGGAGTCTTCCTCACTAGAGACATTCCAGAACCCTCTGGACACAACCCCATGCCATGGGCTCCGGGGTGCTGGAGAAGGCAGGCTGGACCACATCACCGGCAGTACTCTCTCCCTTCCAACTCAATTCTGTGATTGTGTCTGCTCACATGTGAGCTGGACTCGATAATCCCACAGGCGATTCTGTGGAATACGTTACCCCTGCAAGCGCGACAATCCCGCAGGGACCGTCCCTGAGGAAGGGAACGCGACATCTCCGCAGGGACTGTCCCTCAGAAGGGAACGCGACCATCCCGCAGGGACCGTCCCTGAGGAAGGGAACGCGACATCTCCGCAGGGACTGTCCCTCAGAAGGGAACGCGACATCCCCGCACCGCCTCCCTCACAGCTCTGAGGGGCGGCTCTGAGGGCTCTGAGGGCGGCCGGCCCCTCCGCGCGGGGACAAAATGGCGGCGGCGAGCGGCGGGGGCGGCCGCGCGGGGGCGCTGCGGGGCCGGGCAGCGCTGACAGCGGGCCGGGCTCAGGGCGGCGGGCCCGGCCCTGCTCCCTCCCCGCCCGCGTCGCCTTCCCCGCCCGCCCGCCCGCCGGCACAGCGCGGGACGGAGGAGCGGCGGCCCCGCGGTGGATGCGGGAGCAGCGCCGGCTCAGGAATGCAGCAGCCGGGCGGCGCGGACGGGAGCCTCCCGCTGCTGCTGCCGCTGCTGCTGCTGCTGCGAGCGGGGAGCCGCGCCGAGCCCGGGGACGCCACGCAAGGTAAGGGGGACGGGACAGGGCGGGCGGCGGTCCCGGCCGGGATGAGGGAGAGCGGCCGAGCCTGCACCGAGGGGAGCCCCGCTGCCCCCGCGCCGCCTCCCGTTAACCAGCGCGGGGTTTTATGCTCGGTCCGTGTTTAATTGCTTCGTAAAAAAAGCTCTTTGCAAGTGTTGGGGCCGGTGAGCGTTCCCAGCGTAAGCACTGCCAGGCGGTCCCGCTTTGCGGTCCGTGATTGATGGTGCCCGAGGTGTGTTACCGCACTGGCGACTCGGCCCTTGGAGCCGCTCTCAGTGCCTGTTTCGCTATCCCACCCCCCTTGTACCCCTCAAAGATGTTTGTTTATTTATTTATCTGTTTATTTATTTGCAACCAAAAGAAAGCGTCTCCGTTTTGCTTTTAGCGAGTGATATTCATCCCGCGATCTTTCTGCTTTATCTGACTCCAGCTTTTTTGCCAGGGATTTATGTCTAAAACATAGCGTAGCCCAGGCATAAAGGGACCTTGGAGCTGGGAAAGCTGGAATTGGAAAAAGACTGATTCCTTCAGGCCAAGGCAGTAAAAAGTGAGCAGTGTTTTTGGACGCCTGCATGAGAATTTCTCTGAGAGTTGGATGTACGTGAGCTCCGGCTCCTCCAGAGCGGTTTGTGGTGGGCGCTTCAATCCCAGCCCACTCGGAGCAGTGCTGCTTGATAATATGCCTGCATTTAATAGTTAAAGAAGTGAAAAAAGTGAACGCTAAAGAGCGAAAGTTGGTGGAAAAAGCTAAAATTGTAAATACTGTGGGATAGCTGCCTTTAAAATGTGCTTGTAGCTAGCAGATAAAAGTCTCTTGTATCCCTGAGCCTGGGTTGGTGCCGCTGTCCCTGAGGATGCTGTTCCCGGCACTGAGAGAGGGAGTGGATCTCCTAGAATGACTTCCCCATGTCCCGGGAGCTTCGTGGCGCACATTCAATGGCTGGATGAGCTTGGGGTGGGAATTCTTCATGACATCTCAATGGGAAAATTTTCAAAAGTCGTTTTCTAGTGTCTCCAGGGAGTGCTGTCTGTGCTTAACAAATGGCTGTATTTTTTAAAGGGGCAAAAAAGGCTATTTCCCCCCTGGTTTTTCAGATGGTTTCAAATCTTTAGGGCAATGCAAGTTGTTGTTTTATTGTTTTTTTTTTCATGTTTCAAAGAGCCTGGAAGGGAAAAATAAAACCTCATTAGCATAAAGCAACTGATCACATTGGGTCTGAAATTGAACCATTTCAAATTTTCTGTGCATTCTGCTAGGAAGTACCTATCAGAGAATGAATTCACCTGTATGTGAATATATTAATATTGTCATTATTAGTCCTTATATATTAATGTAGTCATTACAGCACAGCTCATGTAGTACTTAAACCAAGAAGGGTTTCAGCTTAATATAAAAGTGTTTTTTTATAGTGAGAACAATAATTCACTGGAATTAGCACCCCAGGGATGTGGTGGAATCCTCGTGGCTGGAGGTTTCCAAGATGAGAGTGGATAATCTCCCTTTCCCACAAAAGGCTGGACCAGGTGATCCTTCCAGTTCCCTTCCAGCCTGGACTGTGATCTGTGATTATGTACAGTTACTCTCCACACTAAAGTATTTCCTGTATTTTGAATAATATCTTTGGCAAATGCTTACAGCGTGGATGCATGGGCAGATCAAGTGATTTATTTAATTTTTTATAGATAGACATCTATTACATGTTCAACCACATACTAGGTTTTGTGGAAGAACAAGGGAACCTGAACATCCAACACCAATTAAAAAAACCAAACAAAGAAAAAGCCTGTTCTAAAATGTTTTACAGGTTTCTTTAAGGTGACTGTGGTGGTTGGGTAAATAGAATTTGCTCTATCAGAAACCCAGCCCTGATGGAATCTTCAGTCCCCACCCTTTAACCCTGACACGTTCAGAAGGAGAATGTGGACCACTGTCTCCTGCTGCTGCCTTTCTGTCCATGACCTTTCCTTGCAGGGAGCAAAACAACCCCAAAAGCTTTGTCCATTCACTGCCTTTAGGGTGCTCAGGGGCTGGCCCGAGCGTTCCAGATAAAAGCACCGAGTTAATGTCAATTTAAGGAGCAGCACCTCTCCAGCCTGGATGTTTTCTGCAGCATGTAGCTCTGGATATTCCCAGTTCAGCTCCATTATTGTTCTTCCAGATCGTGGAACTTTGTGAGGAGTCACAATGAAAGACGTGTGAGTAACAGAAAAACATTTTAAAAGCTTGGAGTAAACCCACAGATCTCCAGATTGTGTTTCAGATTGTAGGGGTGCTGCTGATTTCTTTGAAAGTTGTGAGATAAAGCTGCACAGCTCTTGATTAGTCCCTGTGGTTAATTGTTCCATCCCTGGGTCACAGGCTGCTGCTTCAGCCTATCCAGGAATGAGTTTAAAAACAAACAAAATGCTTTTGTTGCCTTAAGCCTCTAAGAGGATGAGGGTAGATGTCACTGTTTGGGGTTGCAGCCTTGTATTTCATGACAAAAGTGGCTTGAAGTAGCAGCAAATTATCTTCAGGACATCGTTCCTTTGTTTCCATAATTAACTTCTACTGAAACTGCTGTGTTAATTACGTCCTCGCCGGGATTTAAAGCGTTGCAAATGAGAGTTAGGCAGGGGAGTATTTTAAAGCTTGTGCATGGATTTAAGTAGGCAAAGAGAGCAGGAAAAAAGAGTTTCCCTGAGGTGTGACACTGGATCCTGCTCTTTAGAAACAGATGTAGGAATCCAGCGGTCTGCTGGGACTCCAAAGAGCACCTCAGAGCTGAAAACTCTTTTAAAAAATCTCTAACTAAACGCAGCTGCTTTACACACAGCGATTGTCTTGCGAGCCAGGAGCATGTAGAACGTTAACTCAGACAAAAGAAGAAGTGTAAACCTTTCCTTCCCCAAGCCCTGGAAACAAAAACCCAAAAAACCCCTCAGTCATCCTCAGCTGCAGATTGGATGTGTGAAATGCTGTGTCTCCAGAAGCAGGAATTGTTTGTCCGGGGTGTTTGCTGCTGCCTGGTGTGCTCTCACCTTGGGTGGGTATCCCGGCTCCTGCCAGGGGAAATCACAGCTGGCACAGCTGGAGCAGGGGTGGAGCTCTCACACCCAGCCTGCATCTGACACACTCCTCCCTGGCCAGGTACTTAAACCAGTAGCAAATCCAGTTATTTTGCTGTTAAAGTGCTGCCTTTGATCCAGGTTCCTGCTTTTAAAAATCAGCAAACCCCGTGCTGTGTCTTGAAATCAGCTCCCCAAAGCTGAGCATGCAGAAATTCTGGGTTTGCCCCAGCCCCAAAGAGCTGAATAATGAAGTGAATTTGCAGGGCTTTTCTTGTTTCTTTTTCATTGTCATCAAGGAGATATTGAAAGTCAACGAATCTGCACATGTATAAATGGAACAGCAGTGCAATGAGTAAATGAGAGCAGTTGTCAATGATTCTTTGTAAATAACAACAAAATGCTGGTGTTAGCTGAAGGATGCTTCTGTGGGGGTGGTGATTGCACTTTTGCATCCTTTATGACGAAGTGCTTTAAAATTCCTGGAATTCTACATTTGGTGTAAAGTTTCATTTGGTCAGGTGCTGCAGAGGAAGTTACAGATTCTTGGATGTTTTTTTTTTCCTGTCTGTTTACAAGCAGAGTCACTGCTGTCCTTGCCAGGAGTGTGGCATGTGAGAGCCTTGGACATGTTTAATGTCATTTAATTGGGCTGGAACAACAGGAGAGCCGGGGGGGCTACACTGTGAAGTTTGCCAAGGTGGAAAAACTGAATAATTTCACCTTAAATATAGATCTATATTATACTAGTGTGTGATGTGATGATAAAGCTCTAAATATTGCTATTATTTCATAGTAAAGTTCTTTGAAGTCCTCCAGGGAATATAATGTAAAAGAAAAGAACTTGCCTATATTTGGACTCTAATGCAGTGCAATATTGAAAATGGTGCTCTGCCAAAGTCAGGCAGCTTGGGGAAAAAAAGTAGCCTGAGAAAGGAACCCTTTGGTGAGGAAAGCAATAAGCTCAGCCTGCTTCCATGCCAGCATCCCAGCGTGAGGGAGACTGCTTTCCAGGATCCCCTCCTCAAGTGCAGACACTCAGTGCCACTGTTCCAAGTAAATCTGCAGGGCAGGAGATGAAAGGAAGAGGTTGTGGAAAGAATGCCATGGTTCGTGTAGGTGGGATGGACGTGGATTTGGAGGATGATTGTCAGGTAGGATTCCTGAAAAAATGGTGCAGAGTGGTCACCAAGAGGAGCAGAAGGCACAGCAGTGCCACGGGGCAGGGACTGCCAGGATGAATGGGCTGTGGGGCCAGGGCTGTGTGTGCAGAGCTGCCCTTTCCCTGCTGGTTCACCCCATGGAGCTCACACCCAGGGCAGGAGCAGGACAAGGCTCAGGTCGGGGCTGCTTTGCTGCTTCACCGAGTTCTGTGGGGTTTTGGGGCTTGATATCCTGACAAACCCCTCTGGAGAGCTGAATGGGGCCTGGTTGATCAGAGAGGGTAAAGGCCAGCACAGAAGGGTCCTGCAGGACATGTCCTGGGTCATGGTGTTGGTGGGGCTGGCTGCTGTGTCCCTCTTGGCTGCAATGTGCCAGTTTGGGGGTGCTGGTCCAGGCCTGGCTTAACCCAGCTGAGATTTTCTGTTCTCTTTGCTCTTGTTACCAGCGGCTCTGGGAAATGGCTGAGGCTGTCAGGGGAGGTTTGGGCTGGGTATCAGGAAAAAGGCTCTTCCTAAATACCCAGAGGGTATTTAGGCACCACACAGGCTCCCAGGGAATGGGCACAGCCCCAGGGCTGCCAGAGCTCCAGGAGTGTTTGGACATTTGGACAATGCTCTCAGGGACAGGGTGGGATTGTTGGGGTGTCTGTGCAGGGCCAGCAGCTGGACTGGATGGACCTTTGGGGTCCCTTCCAGCTCAGGATTCTGCGATTCTGTGATGTCACATTGGAGACAGGAATCCTGGGTGTATTTATCATGCCCTGGGAATGTTGA